GTTCAAGTAGTAGTAGTTCAAGTAGTAGTAGTTCAAGTAGTAGTAGTTCAAGTAGTAGTAGTAGTTCAAGTAGTAGTAGTAGTAGTAGTAGTAGTAGTAGTAGTAGTTCAAGTAGTAGTAGTAGTAGTAGTAGTAGTAGTAGAAATATACGATGTTAGCCATCAAATATCATCGTGCTTTACTTCTGTGTCTACCAAAAAGAGAGAAGTTCAATGATTTTGCCCAATAGAAGTGCCATTCCAAAACAAGCAACTGGACCATGAAAGTACATGTACCTGTGACAAAAGTGGGACCCATGAGCCTGTCCCGTGTAAAGTCATGTCCAACTTTGATGTATGTTTCTATAGGCTGCTGAAGGGTGTTCAAGGCACTGCTCGGCTCACCCAGAGTTGATGCAGCCCAAAGGGCTCTCTCAGGGGCACGCCAGCAAAAACCACCTCAGAAACACTCGTCTCAGCCGTGGATGCCGGGCTGACTCAAGAATCAACCGAGCTGCAAAGCCCAATCGCTGAAGGGTCAGAGCTTCTTCATCCCCCTCCAAATTGAATGAAGCCATCCAACAAAAGGGTGGTGTCGCTGGGCAGCCATGCCCTCTCCCTTCATGATCCATGATTGGCTTTGAAAACAAAAGCTGTCCTTCCATGTCCTTGACACAGGCACCTTCTTAGATGCGACCAAAACGTGACCTTTTGCACCTTGAGAGGTTGCCAAGAAGGTGACGATGTGCCGAGTGGCAGGGCGATAGCAGGGCATGGCATTTCGCGCTTGGTCCATGGTGTAGAGCCAGTAGTCCCGGATCTCGTCCCCAGTGTAGTCCTGGTGGTATCCACACTGCACAGAAACAGAGTACGATCGCAGTGGAATATGATTGCTAGAACAGGTGATCCGAGAGCTCTACGACCACTCCATGGGCATGGAATCTACACATTACATGTCACACAAAAAAAAGAAAGTACTAGCTACTAGTAGCAAGAAGCTATTAGGTGGAGGCCATCGCAAGTAGCTTGGAGGCCATCGCTACTAGTCTTCAAACCAAGGTTTCAACCCCTGGCCATCGAACGTCTGTGTCTCTTGCATCCCCTCCTTGCCGTATTTGCACAGGACCCTGGGCAGCGGGTTGGTGGGCCACGAACCGCCAAAAAATGGAGACAAAGGAACGCTGTGAGGTGATGTTAAAGAGAAAAGGGTGATCCCACCCTTCCACTCCCTAAAGTATCATGAAGGAACTGAACCACCCATCAAATGATATATATATAATATGATAATATAATATATCGCGTCAAATGCCGAGAACTTTGTTGTTCAGGAAGACATCGCTTCCTCACTTCGACACCACCTCGAGTCGGCGCTCTTTGGCATGCTCTGTCCCCAAAGCGTCTTCCGTCATGGAAAGCTGACGGGAGGCTCCGGGTAGGTGCACACCGTGCCATCTTCCGGGTCGATCTTCACCTGGATCGGCTCCCGCCGGACGACCGGCTCGGTGCTGGGTCAGGGTCCGGGGTCCCCGGGTGCGATTCTCGAAATCTGGAAGGTGTGATGTGGAGCTTTTGGGGGGGAAGCTGTGAAGTTCAAGTTCTCTTATAGTTGCATCCTTCTTTTCAAGACACAATCCAAACGCTTCCTGGGATCACCCCAGCGAAGGGATCACAACGATGTGTTCGTATTTGTTGAATGCCTTTTCCGCTCCGGAAACTCGGGCTCCATCACATCTGCCATTTCCTGGCTGGTGCTTGGTAGAGAATCATAGAATAAGGAAATGACTTCTCACTATATACCTTAGGACCTTAAGATCAATTCCTCATTCCATACTCAGCACCAGTCAGTCTACTCCGGTGACCTTTGGAGGAGAACTCTGGAAGGTCACTGGTCCAACTTTCCGACTCTCCGGAGCAGTCATCAAGCCATCCCCACACACCCCACCGACGCACCCGTTCGTTGGGCGCCCCGCCCGTTGAACGGGCGCCGCGGTTGGGCGCCGAAGCGGGTTCCCGGCGCCTTGGGCTCCATCGTCCGATCGTCCGCCAGACCGAGGAAGCGGATCAACAACTCCTGCCGGCTCCGTCGGGCGTCCCGGTGACGAGAGGAGCACCGAAGGGGACGCCAGACCGAGGGAGGCGGAACTCGGATGGGATCTGTGGGCTCCAGGCCAACTCATCAAGGCATATTAGATGCATATATGGATCCACATGTGGGGATCTTTGAGCTTTCCCCCCAAGGGCAGGTAGGGCAGCTATAGGAGTTCGGCACCGTACCTCCGAACACAGCCCTATGGTTCAGGGCACTGGTTTCCCAAGATTGGCTAGAACTCGTGGCTACCTATGTTGTGGTGGTATGGTAAGCCCAAATGCATCCCATCCTTACTTGGAAAAGGAAGTTCCAAGTCCCAACAGCTCCTGAGTCTAGGTCCCAATAGGTCCTTGAGATCCTTCACCGCTTTCTTTCCAACCTCCCCATCCATTTCCAGCCCCCCCTCCCCAGTCTCCAGGCCCCAGGTCTGCGGCTCGGAAGCTTCCGCCAGCAGCCGTGGACGCTCCGGCCCCCGCTCGGCGTTCTCCTCGGGCGGTCTTTCAACCGCGGTCCATCCACTCGGCAGCGGAAGGGGGGGGAAGCCAAGCACACCCAGGCGGCTGAACTACCAGAACTGCCTGTGAGTCGTGTTTTATCTTTTCTGGGCTGTGGATGAAAGCCAGATAACTGGCACCTTTCTGGAAGCCCTGTCCGACGGTCGAAAAGTGTGGGTCATGTCAACGGTGTTGGTCATGCTTCCTCAGCTTCCAAGGTGGTCTTTCTTAAGTGTCCTTGCTCTGCATTGAGATGGAATGCTCTCTTCTCCTTGTTACTTGCTCCAAGAGCTTTCTCTTTGACCAGGGATCATGTAGCGTCAAGTAGTATACTGTTGATCAATCAGAGCTGTCAAAGCCCGGAAACTTTAGACGGTTTAATTACATCATATTATTTACATCGAAGATAATATCCATATCGATGGTTTGATTCATCAACCGTCTACATAATGGCCAAGTTCCTCATTTCGCAGCACGATCCTCGATCAGTTTCCCCGCAACTGAAGAGTCTAGACCCGACAGCCCTGGACTGAGCCAAAGTAGACCTGGACCGGCAGTAAACCTGGACCAGCCTAGACCGGCAGTCAAGGACACCCGCCCTGAGACTCGTCGACGCTTGATAAACGACGAGAACAAGAGGAAACGGGCATGGACCATTATTGGTTGGGGCCTAGAAATGGTCGGAAATGCTTGAGGTGGAAGTCGTGTTCATGTTGACCCTTTTTGTATTACACTTCAAGCAGCTGTTGCTCTAGCCGACTCCAGCCAGTAAGAGAAATGTCTGGAGAGACGGGCAGTTCGGGGTGGGTGCCCAGCGGGTTCAACCACCGAACCTGAGGATATGGGCCAGGAGCCCTAGAGAAACAGAGTTCCCAAGCTGATTCTTTCCCATCCAGTGGTGGAGCCATCCGAGTGGAAGCTACGAGTTGCAAGGAAGCCAACGGCCCGGAACCCGGTCGGTCTACAGTTTGATGTGGTTTCCCGTGGTTATTATAGACCTGAATGGATTACACTCATTGCTTAAATTGGAAAAGTAATCGGCTAGTTTATCAGATGATCAGACGCAAACGATTGACTTGTATGCTCAGTTGCGCGATAAACTATGCACCTGGAAGTCTACAACCTCCTCATGGAAACTTATCATGCCTTTGCATCCAGCTGCTGAAGATGCCTCCTACTGGGCGCGTAAAGTTTCTCAACAGGTATGGAAGTTATTTCACTTGCTTGAATGGCCATCTCCAGATGAACCGTCACCTCTTCATTATAGCGGAATCACATCGTATGAGCTTGTTGTGCTTTACCTGATTCGATAGATTCATCACAAAACCAAGAAATATCCAGTCCCGTTTGACTTCCAGTCACAAGAGGTCCAAGTATTGCCACACTCGACCGTCGGTCAGAAGAGGTCACAAGCTACAAATTTTCACGCAACGAACAAATCGCAGCTTCGTCGGGGGAATCAGGGCCACACCCCGTTGTCCTAACCAAGACAAGGTGATTTCGTTACTTGCGCAGTATGCGAAACTCGAGGGGCAGAAGTGTCCTGCCAACGTGCATCTCCCCATGCCCGTGGTGTGTGCGGTCGATAACTCGATTCCAGACTTGAAGGAAAATGCATTTGAACACAGGCAGATTTCCAGAGACACGTTAAGAAACTGGTGACTAAGAAGTGCAGCTTGGATCTTTTCGTCGAGCCGGTTTAGGTGCTTTAATTCATAATTGACTACTGTTTACATGTGTGTTTCCACACAGTCTTACCATGTCACTTCAGATGTACAGACGCATTGCTTGTAACATTTCATGTGCACAGTCCTCACTTAATTACAATCTTTCTCACCTAATTGCTAACCTCCGGTACCCATGGAAGGGCCATGAGGCGCGGGATTGACAGTCCGCAAGTGTGTGGTGGTTTGATGTGGTTTGCCTGGATCCACAGGGTGGGCTTTGTGCAAGCGCAACCACTTCGTCCAGTTGGCCCTTCGTCGACCCCAAAGGCCCAGTCACGAAGGCCCAGTCCAGGATGCTGCGGAACTGAGCGGGGTCCTGCGGAACTCAGGTGCGGAAGACTTAAGTAGGTCTCCTAGGACTTCTAAGGGATGTCCAATGGAGTGGAAAACCTACCAGGGCCCCCTAAGGGGTGTCTAATAGCTATAGCTCCTTAGAGGTTAAGGTGTATGGGGGCCCTGGTACAGGGTTGTCCATTGGTGACCCTTTCGATGGTCCAGAAAGAGAGGAAAGTCCTAAAGCACAACCTGCCTTCAGGGGTTCATCGTGGGTAAGCAAAACTCCAGCGTTTAAAACCTTCTTGGTCTCTCTCTGCTTTAGGTGGGCTTCTTGAACTTACCGTCTTGCTTCAGAGCCTGTCTTGTCTCCCGTCTTCCCCCTGCCCAAGCCCCAGGGGGGGCGCTCCAAATCCAGGAAGATGCGCCCTTCTTGGTCCAGGCTATGGAGAGAGCTCCAGCGCCCCGTGCACACCGAGTTCAGCAAGCTCTTTGGGAAGCACTCGAACTGGTCACCTCAGCAGCTCGCCACTCCACCCCAACGAGTCGGACGGCAAAAGCGCGGGCCCTGAGGCCCTGAGGCCCTGAGGATCGCGTTTGAGGGTCCTTTTAAGCCTGAAACGGCGAGTGATGTGGCTGAGAATGTCCCCAAATGTGGAAGAATGTAGCAAAATCTTACCAACATGTTTGAAGGGTTCGTCTGTCTATGTGTGTGAGTGTGTGTGTGTGTGGGCGTGTGTGTTCCAATGTCACAGCGCAGCCTGTAGAGGACAGCCATTGAGACTCACACCCAATTCAAACATGGTTGACCAGTTGCACCTCTTGCTACGGAGGTCATATCTCTCTCCAGGTGGTACTCTTCCAGTGTGATCCCTCAAAAATGCTCCCCTCAGTTCACCTTCTCTAGACTCTAGACAAGGGCCATTGGTTGACACCAACCAAAATGACTCACTCTCGACCCACTCTTCAGCCAACAGTCGGTCAACTGTCGTCCACAGCTGCGTGCTCACGTCGTCCAACGCCGTTCGGACGATGCCATGTCACGGCTCAAGACGAAGCCGGTATCGCCGCCCACGTTGATCGAGGCCGCCCCGGTGGCAGTGAGCTTGGCCGCATCCGTCTTTGGGAGGGCCTTGACCGGGCCAAGGGTCTAAAAGGGACCGCCATGCATGGAAGAGCTAGCATCACCTTGTAGGGTTGTAGGGTTGAGTACTCTTGTTGAGAGTACCACTGTGGCTGCCGTGGCTGTCACCAAACTGGGAGCATCGAACCCACGTTTGATGGACCCCAGACGTGAGCAAGAACTAGGTCTTGTAGACCCCCCAGACGAGGTCGGTCTTGTCTGTCCTTGTCTGTCGCTCGTTCCTTTTGGAACGCAACCGGATGGGTCTTCAGAAGAAAACCGGAGACGGTCCGAACCCGAGAAGTCATGGAACGGTCCGCAACTCTGAAATACAGATGCTGTTGGACAAAGTCCGGTCCGGCCATCAGATCGTATGAAATCTTTCTAAGTTTAAAGATCTTCACTAAGAAAAAAAGGGATCTTCGAAGCTTCATCAAATCCTCCCTAACATCATGTTATTTCGTCCATCTGATCCGATGAATCCTAGAATCTTCACTGACAGTTAACACATCTGATCCATTTAAACCCAAACCTTTTGAGTTGGAGGATAGAGAATGAATTGATGCCCCCAATGCTGGGAGTGTGAATCACCACGCCCAAGCAAATCAGGAATGGCAAAAACTCTCTTGTAGTCCTTGTAATCGATACCCCCGCATTCCCAAGACTACATTCAAAAATGGTCTATTGAGGCAACCCGAAAAAAGAGAATTCCTCTTACTTCCATCGATCAAAAACGAGTCCAGGGTCACCCGGGCAAGCCTGCCAAAAGCGAACCGGATCTCCCGAAAGGACCTCCCCCCGCTCGTTTCGTCCCTCGGACGACCCTGGAGCGACACGAGGCGGTTCACGGTGGATGTGGGGGCTCTTGCCATGCATCCGTTGCTGAGAAAACCTAACCAAAAACACGGTTGTATACACGGTGTTTTCTCACCGAACACAGCCATAGGGTGGCTCTGCGGGGTTGATTGCAGATTGAGTTCACGAACAAAACGACTCTGCAGAGCAGATCAGAACTTACCAATCCTCGGATCCAGACTAGACTCTTACTCTTAATTCACAAAAACCCTCGGATCCAGGATGGCTTTCAGTTTTACCTCTGCATTCTATTTATCAACCGCTTATATTAGGTCGATCCTCGATCACAGCTGAGAAGACCTGCCTGCTGTTGGAGCTCCTTCACTGTGGCCTTCCACACCAGTGAGCGCGGTGACGGGTGTGTCCCCTGTGGATTCACTCGGACGACTGGACATGCAGTAGGCACACACAGTCATGGTCCGTTGGGCAACCTGTAGTGGTGGATGTTTGGGAGAGTGGCGCAGATCAATGGAACCAAAGACAGCATGGTGTTTTTGTCAAATCTCTCCTTAGGTCCCATCAGAGTGAACAGAACAACTGAGAGCTTTGGTGAACTGTCCACTGTTGATGTCTATGGTTTGCCTATCACACGCCGATGATCCACTTGCCATGCCACTTACATCGTCTCTTTTTCGTGCTTTGATGCCTGAATCGGAGAAGTGGCCACTGCAGCCAGACGTCTGCCTCATGTGGCCAGCCATTGTAGAATACTCAGTGGCCACTGCGGCCCGTGTCAAGTGTTTGGAAAACAGCACCAGGCACCAGGCACCATCACCTGAAAAACACACTCTCCTGTGTAGGGAACCATCTTGACCTTGGCGAATTGTCTCTTTTTCTCTTTGACCTGGGTTGGTGAATCCTGACCTTGGCGAATTCTCTGAGGCGAAGTATCTAACCAATAACCTGATTGCTGAAGCCTCGGGGGTTCAAGTTCTCTAACAAACACCTGCAAGTACCACATTGTCGGTGGCGCAGGAACTCCCTAGAATTGATTTTCACACTCTGAGACCTCCAACCAACGAACGGATGAGGTACCCTGGATCTGCTGAACCGAACGCCGCCAGCCATCCACAGGGCATCTCCAAGGCCTCCAACTGCTCCACTTCAACTCTTAGGTCGTCCAGGTGCTTCCGAATCGCCTCCGCCCAAGGACCAGGTGCTGTACGACTTCCAATCGCTATGTGTCAACTGTTATTGTGTGTGGATTGAGAGTAGATGGCACAATCCCCCAGTTTGTGGTTTATATGGACCCACATCTAAAAGACGTCTTGGGGTGCCAGTGCCATCTACTCTGAAATCACAGTGCTGTCGAGGTAGATGGTCAGTAGCTTGCTCCTGCGCTTCCATCCGATGGGATGTTCCTCCTTTGTGTCATCCATGAAAAAGCTCTCCGTTTGGGGCTTCAGACCCTGTGATCAGTCCAGTGCGCCCAACCAACCAACCAACCAACCAACCAACCACACAAACATCACACGCCCCTCGTCTTGGCTCAGTAAGCTTTCTTTGGTCTCTCTTTTCGCCCACAGGAGGCTTCAGACCCGGAAACCAGGGTGGATCCGAGAACTACACATTCAAACGTGTAAAGGTTACAGTACCAGCACCACCCAACGGGTGGTCTATGGTTTCCCCCCAAGCACCCATGAGGGGGCAACCCAAAAGTCCTGCAAATCATCCTCCGAAAAGGACGTCACTAGGCACTTCAAGTGTTGTCATCGGCTTTGGCGATTAGGGACGTTCACTAGGTCGATGAATTTACGTTCAACAATGATCAAGTTCTGAGCAATTCCATGCAAATAACCGTGCAAACCCTAAATACCCCTAATATCCTAAACCGATAATGCCTACAGCCTATAGCTGATTCCTTAGGGGGCCGACCCATGCGTCCTGGCACTTTACAAAGTACAATAAGAATAACAATAACAACAATAATCAGTATTAGAATATATAATAGACAAATAGACATTTAAAAATACACATATATATATATATGTATGAAAATATACTATATAATACTAATACAACATCACGACCTGAACCGGAAACATCATCTGGGACCTTTCGAAGAAATGTCATGACCCGGGAGAGACGCGCCTGAGCAGATTCATCGTAGGCACTTCTTCGAGCATCCATGATGCTGGAAGGGACGAAGTGTTTGTTGCGTGTGGATTGAACCAATCTGACCTCTGTTTTGATTGGATATGGAATGTTCTATCATAGTTGGGAGAGTTCATCTCAAAAAAGAAAGAAAATAACGTCCCTCAGAGTCTCGGTGGATACTTGGGTTGGTGGGCGAAGAAGGTGATGAAGACACTTATGAATGTGGTGGGCGCTTGTGGTTGGGTTGGGGCACTCATGGCTTGTGGTGCTGCCCATTTCTGTGGATTTCTGCGGACTACTCGTCCAATGTGACCCAACGCGCTGTGGTGTTTGGCTTCGCGCCAGTCTCTGGCTCAAAGAAGCTACCCTGCTGACGTCCTTCCAACATCTTGACATCACTAGCATGGGTTGATAATTGCGCAGTCCTTTTTTGAACCATGAACCAGGCAAGTTGAGAATCTGGTGACCCATGAGGCTTTAGGGAGCTGTTGGATGTTGGGGGTTTGTTTGAGGTGACCCCCAGACCATCGCTGGGCATAGCTGGTAGCAGGAAATACCATTGCCATTGATGGTCACCACCCTGCACCTCCTCAGAAGCAATGAATCATCCTCTCTTGCTGGCAGCACTTACAGACTTCTGAAGTGGAGCAGGTTATCAGTAAGATATCGGCCTAGAACGGAAATCCCCCACCAACCGCTTGAAGAACGAGTTCCTTACACCAAAGGTTTGGGTGAGCATCGTTTTGAGACAAAAGAACTTCGAGTGGGGACACATGGATCTTGCACGTCCTTCAAACAAGCCTTTCTTCTACAACTCGTGAGTCGCAACAAACTCGCAAGCTGTTGACATGTGAGCCAAATCAGCATTCCTGATGACTTCAACTGCTTGAACGGGCTCCAACCTTGCTGGAGCATCCCCCCACTCTCTCGCAAGTCCTAGATACATGACTGCTTTGGGGTGTGACAGGCTTTTAATTCCCCGTTCCTTGATGACTAGAATGTCTTGCAGCAGTGCTTTTCAGGGTCTAGGTGCGGAGTCTTTGAAAAAAGGGCCGTGCAAGGCATTTTCTTAGCAGTTGAAGCCGTGATTTCACCTGGAGAGGCGTCTTCATGACCCAGCAAAACTACCAGGTCTCCCACGCAGTGGAAAGGGCGTCTATGGGGGGCGCACCGCTGTCGTCCGAGCGGGCAGAGCCTGAAGAGTCCGACGCCCGTGGCACGGTTCAGGTCGCGACCTGAACACCTGGAGGCTACCTGGGGTGTGACTGAGCAAGTCAGGTATAGTATAGCGTGGTGGATGTAAGAAAGAAGCTTGAAGACAACGTCACGCTTTTAGTCTTGCATTGCCTCATTCCTCTTGATTACATCTCAGTAGGCATCATTTCTGTGGGTTCCCTGGAGGATACCTAGATTCAAGACAAACGAATGGCTGAGAGATCAAAAGGAGCAGGGCTTGCGCCGATGGACAGGACGGGACAGCACAGGATGTGTCTATTTCAATACAGAAGGGGGACAACCAACCAATGGGTCTCTGGCCTTTGCTGTTTCATGCAGTCGGCGACATGCAGTGACCACCCCCAGCTTAGCGTGAGGCAGGCGCAAGAACAGACACCCCGAGTTAGGGCTTCCAACTTGCTTTCATGTTCAGGGTAGACTTCCGACCCACATGAAAGAACTTCCATAAATTCTCAGCAACTTTGTCATGGTTGACTAGCTGCACCTTCCACAAAGATAAAAGGTGGGGTTATGAAAGCCCAACTTCTTCAGGCCACCCCTTTGACACACTAAGGGTCCAAGGTCGACCATTGTACCCAACCATTGAAAGAACTGCACGGAGACCCTCAGTTGGGAACTGAGGTCTGTCCTAACACGGTCAGCGCGAATAGACTCATCACGCATCACGAAAGCAGACCGACGAAGTCGGGTCTTCTTCAATGTCCGATCATACAGTGGAGTCATATATCCAGTGGACATGGCGAAGGAAATGTAAATCTCCAAGACTCTGGTCTCCCCCTCCTCATCCAACCATTTCACGTTTCGGCATCAACAAACACAGCCGAGTGAATCTTTCACCAAAAGGGAAATCAGGAAATTCCCCAACATCTGTAACGCGAAAAGGGCAAAAATTCACCAACCATGGGTCTTGGTCCCTTCTTCCAGGAGGTCGAACTGAGAGGTCTCCCTTATTTAATACACATCTATATAGATATAGATGCGTTGAAATCAGGTGGATCTGAAGCCAGGGTGTGCAGATGCATCGGAAGCATCCCCAATTCATCAACCCAAAACCAGTCTCTTGAAACCTCAGCCCATTTGGGGATGGGTCCAAACCTGGCCAGTCCACCATCTGACCTCCCTGGTTGAGCATTCTGTTCTTTCACGGGCCAAGTGTCCTGGTGCTTTGAGGTTTGGAGCCCCCCCCCCGTGTCCCTGCGCCGCCTTGATCCATGGGCTGCAACTGCGAGGTTTGAGGTGAGATGGAGCCTGGAGCTAGGCTCCAAAGACACCGTTTGCAATGCTCCCTCAACTTAAGCTAGGCTCTTGATGAGTATAAGTTATATGTCAACCCGTTTTTTGGAAGAGGTTTTACCCTCCCAATGGGGTGTTTGTTTCATCAAGAGTCTACGGACGTTTTGGGAGTTTCTCACTCCCCGTGTGTTTGTTCCCGATAATGCTTCGCTCTGCCCCCCTACTGCTTAATTGCGTAGGCGTCTACTAGTTACTAGGGAGTAAGCTACTAGTATGGACCCAGGACTAGCTCACGCTTGCACGAATGATTTGGTTCCATGTTTAGGACAACTGGTCTACACCTCTCCTTCAACCCTAGTCCCATCGCCCTAGTGAACCCTGCGGCGACCTCCCCCGAGACCTCGTCACGTTTCTTCTCGAAAAATCCCAACCGGTCTCCCCAGTGGCCGAAGAAGTCTTCGGCTTTAGAAGGATTGGACGTGCGTTTTGCCCAAAAAAAAATATATATATATATATATCAAGGACTCAAAGGCTTGAAAACGTCTCAACATGTGGGCACCAACGTGCAATTTCTGAGGCAGTAGGCGATACCGTAGGCAACACCAAAGGGACTGTCTAGACCTGAAATATGAAAGTATCACCAAAACCGCCAAAACGTATAAAGGACCACTCACCCTGGCATTACACATAAAACATCATAAAACCCATCACCCCACTTTTACATCCCCCTAGCATGTTCCATCCCCACCAGAAGCTCCCCCCACAACCCTGGTGTGGGTTCTTCCCCCTGAGTCTCCAGGCTGAGGCTCATGAGGTGTGCTTGGTTCAGCATGTCGACGCCCTGCAGGTCACAGGGTGCTCAATTTGAGCTGAAGGAGCTGCAGTCTGATCACAACATCGAGTCATCTTGGGAACAATGAACCATGACAACCATGAGATGAATGCCCAACATGCCAAAGCTTGAAATGGGTTCAGGGCGATCGGAGATCACAGCATTTGGGGGCGTGTGTGTGTGTGTGTGCCCTTTGAGCTTCTTGCGAGACACCAAGGTTCTAGATGCAAGAACCGGGGAGGATCATCATCTTAGTTATGATTTGTCAAAATGAACTGCGGTGAAATCCGCATTTTCTGGTGAATACACGGCTTGAAAAGAGTGCCACCACGGCGAACGAGACCCCAAAACCACCCAACTTTGGAGACCATGTGGTGGAATCTGGGGTGCTCAAGATGGTGCCAATACCAAAATCAGCCCATCGTCGATCCAAAGTCTTCCGGTCCAATACCACAGCCCGCCGCTAAGGGGTGTCCATTAAGAGCCCTTGGAGCTTTTAATGGGCGGCCCTGATAGACGCAAAAACGTACTCCGTCCTCATAGCCCGGCTCCCTTCGATTGGCATGGAAAACCTGCCTCGAGCGAAGAATGAAGGCGGGGCATATGGTGGAGACCGACGGGGGAGGTGGACTGGAAGAGGGTGAAACTGGAAGTGGTCAGTTCACGAACCCCAAAAATCCCTGCGGCCATCTGGTGAGTTTCATCCACGAAAACCTGGTGGCGCAGAATGGAACTGCTGAGTAGGCCCGAAGGCACGCATCGATAGAATGAAGATTTTCCAAACGAAACGGTGAGCTTCCACTTGTTCATGTCGCTTTGGAGTGTAATCTCGCACACCTTAGAAGAACATCATCAAACTGTGAAGAAATTGTCCAACAAGTTGAGGATGAAATCCTAAGAATCTCATCATCTCAACTGATGCGGCAGTTCTATCTGAAAAGGGCTCATCATCGCGTGCCTCATTTCATGTGTGTGTGTGTGTCAATCAACAATTCTGAACATCACTGCTAACATCCATCCAACAGTCCCCATGCAAAGCCCAGCTCGGGTGTGAGGTCCTTTTCTTCGCGAGCGAACAGAAGGGTCTGAGCAAAGTCTGCCACACAAGTGGGAAATTGCGAGACGCGGCATCCGTGCGTCCGAAGCACTGCCTAAACGGAAGAGCATCGAAACGAACTCCAGTATCGTTATTTTACTTCTCCCGGTATTTTGTGGGGTCTCAATCATTCCACTTCTCCGCCTTCCTCCCCACATCTGTTCATCTGGTCCAATCTCCCCATCTTCGCAGTCGGCCGGACGGAGGTGCCTCACATCTGTACAGAGCAGGTTCGGCGGTGCGGTGGAAATGGCACACTCTCATGGCACCAAGCCCTGTCTGACCATTTCTTGGAGATCCAGAAACAGAAATCTGGAAAGTGTGTCGTTTTTCTTCAGTGAGGGACATGGGTTTATGATGTTGTTCATCACTCCCTGAACAGCATAATGGTTCGCCCGACGAACCCTTAATATTTGCAATTCTCAGCATCCATACAAGACCCATCTCATGTTAGTGGGGCACAGCATTGAGAAAGTTGTTCGGTTTAGCCCATTCTTCTGTGATCAGCGGAACCCACCAGAGAACTGCATCCTGCACCGGCATCATGTCAGGCGGACTCAGAGATAGATGCTTCCGTCGTGGTCAGTCACGATCTTGGCGTCACGAATGTGTGGCAGGAAAGTCACCTCTCTCCCTGTGAGTGTATGGAAAACACCATAAAGGCCAAAATGGAAACAAGTGAACTAAAACACTGAGTTCCATGTTTCCACTAAACATCCATTTAAGACAAACTCTGAGTTCCATGTGTTTGTTCCATTTAAGTCGTAAATGCTCTATGGGGTTCTAGTTCACTGGTTCGATCATGGGGTTCACATGTTCACCCTCGACTCGCACCGTGGCGTCTGCTGGTTGGGCAAAGACAACTGACGTGTGGGAGCCGGAACCATATCTATCACCCAGCTGAAACTCTTGCACCAGGCTCCAGGCTCAAGTGGATGCACTTCCCTTCTAGAATCGCATTTTTTATGTGTTGAAAAACTTGTGGAATGTTTCAACATAGACCGGACAGTGTGGAAGCACAGGAATCTTCACCATAGACCAAGTTCCCTATCCCCTGTGTAATGTCCCTCACAAAAATCATGTGTGTGTGTAACATGTTTGCAAGGAACAAATAGTTGTAGTTCGGCTCTCTCCTTCATTAGAACTCCCACCTCAGCCCTTCTGCCTTGACCACTCACCAAAACAATGGCTGTCAAGTTCCAAATGTTTCTTGCAAACAAGGATGGCAACTGACCCTCCAAAACAGGAGTAAATAGAGGTGGATTAACTTGAAAACGTTATATACTCGAAACTATCAATCTGACATCTCATCCACCACGTAAATGATTGATGGAAAACTGAAATGTTACAGTATGTACCTGTGCAAACCAAATGCCCACAGTAAATATGCTGGTGAAAACTCAGACTTGCGGTATACCTGTTGTTTCCAAGGGGCAGCGGCAGCTTCCACGTGACGAAACCAATTGCATGTGACCAAGTAGGCATCTGCATCCCAGTCACGACGAGACAAGTGGGAGACAAGTGGAGACAACTGGAACAAGTGTAAAATAATCGGCCAAGAGTATCCAAGCAAGGAGACAAGGACCTAAGGAGACAAGTGTAAAAACATCTGGCCAAGTGTATCCAGAGCAGGCAAAGAAAACATCGGCCGAGGAACGCAAGCCCGGAGACAGAGCCAAAATCATCCAGGCCAGGCATGGAACCCTTTATATAAACAGAGTAAGACCCCGGAGACAGAGTAGACCTGTTTGGTGAAAAGCACCGCGTGCTCTCGCACCTCACCGGTTCCCCTGGGGCGAAGGTCTCTCGTTCACTGTGACTTCCTCCGTGCGGCAGTGGTAAAACTTTCCGCTCCGGTCTCGGCCTGGAGAGCAAAAGGGAGCGGTGTCGGAGCGCGTACCTTGGACCATCCCGCACCTGGTGTGGCTGGAGTTTTGGCAATTGGCAAATCTTTGGAGCACCAGCCACAAGCATCTACAGGGGTGCAGTTTCGTCATTGAGCCGGGGAATGATCGCTCAAATCCCAAAGTTGCTGCATTCGAAGCATTGATGGTCCTGTCGAGATTGGTAAACGCGCTCCTTCCCAAGAAAAGCTTACAAGTTACCCCATCAAACTTGCGGTCTGTCCGCCTGCACCTGTGGCTGTACATTCAGTGACTTCACCCACCCCCGAAAAATGAGGTCTAGATAGCTTCAACACAAAGCCGTGGGCTCATGTCCAATTGATCCACCTTGTGGTGTGCATTGGACCTGCTTGGAACCGCGGACGTATTGATTGCTCCCCCCTGAACAAGTCCACTGCTTGATCTCTAGCCCGTGCAGTAGGAGAGGCCATTCAGCAAAACTAGGGCTGCCAAACCTTGACTCTTCTTTGTGATAACCAAGCCTCTATGGGAGGACATATGTTCACAAAGAAAAACGCACAATGGTGATTCTTGCTCGTTCTTTTTGTTCTTCTTATTCTTTTTCTTATTCTGAGTCTTCTTCTTCTTTTTCTTCTTCTTCTTCTTCTATCAACAAATCCTTTCTGCTCCTTCAAGACCTCCCAACCACCAATCACCAAACCACCCCCCCCCCCATCTGCCCCAACCACTCCCCCCAACCCCTGAAACTTCCTGCGGAACCCACCTTCGTCGATGAGGTCGTCAGGATCGGAGACGTCCACCTCGGCGATCTCCGGGATGCGCTGCATGAGGTACTTCCTCGCCGACCGACCGGTCGAGGAGACCGGTCGAGACTCTCCGCTGCAAAACGACGCACCACACTGTCACCGAGTGGAAGCATGGAAGCATGGAGGCCTGCAGAAGTCCCGCAAAAAACACAAGAACACCCGTTTTGGTGTGAAAAAAACCGTCTCTGGGTCCAGGAACTGGATCTGTTTCTTTCTCCGAGGAACCGAGGTGCGATTTCGCTCAGAAGCTCCACTCACTTCGGACACTCGGAAAGCCAAGCCTTGCGAATGGTTGATTGATCCCCCGTGACGGTTCCATATGAGGGGCTCCCTCTGTCATAGAGGAAATGGACAGGGGGATGTTGATTGATTGATTGATGTTATCTTCCTTTTTCGGCATCGATGTGGGTCTGATCTTGCGAGCACGGCAGCACTTCCAGCCCCTTTTTGGAAAACCCCTGTTCTGGAGCTTTTTGGGCCACCTATGAAAAAGAGCCGTGGGGAATTATGCCACCCACAACCTCGTCGTGGTGGGCAACTCGGAGTTGAAGCAGGGGACCCTCAGCTAAGGACGTCTCAAATGAGCGCGCAAGATAAAACCAGCAGCGAAAGCACTGTTGAAAGCAAAATGCAAGGCTTACACTCTGGCATAAACAGAAATACTGGATTATGTGTGTGTGTGTGAGATCTTTCCTCCAACATGCACGGCTCCCAGGTTTACCGGAAGCTCCCCTCCCTTACCAGTACCAACCTCACTCGGACCTGGAGGCCCTCAAAACCCACCGAAACTCAGCTAAGAGACTTCAAGCGCCGTAAGACGTCCTGGCGTTTAACAAGGGTTACAAGAAGTCTCGGAAGTTGGTTGC